AGCCAGGGGTGGCCTGAGCCGAACCCAGTGCTGCGTGGCCGGGGGGTGCCTCGATGCCGCAGGCTGCTGCCTTCACCCCTCCTGCCTGCGCTGAAGGGGTGCAGAATGAGGCCGGCCCTACTGGGCAGCTGCTGGTGCTGGAGTGAATCTGGTCGTGGGGCTGGAAGGAGCCCCAGGAGTCAGCTGTGGGGCAGGGGACAGGCACAGGGGAGGTTTGGTCGTACTTTGGGATAGTGGTGGTGATGGGAGGGGTGCTCCCCCCCACCTCCCCCCAGGCTGGATCCAGCACCAGCAGCTCCTCAGCCTCAGCTCCCGGCCCATCCACCGCAAGGCAGGTACCAGCACCCCAGGGAGCGGTGCACACCCACCCGTACTCCCCCGAAACGTGACTTCGGCCGTGGTGGCGCCTGGCCCTGCGCCGGGCTGCTCCTGGGGCTGAATCCTGCCCAGGGCCAGTGGGTTCCAGCACAACCCGCCCGTGCTGGCCCGGTGTTTGTGTTGCCCGCCGCCGTGTTTGCACTGCACACAGCCCGGCTGTTTGTTTGCACGGAGCCAGGGGAGCCAAGCCCCATGTCGGCGGTGGCGGGCACGCCGCAGGCAGAGCGAGCACGGGGCGCCCTCTCCGCCTGCAGCACGGAGCTGGCTGGGCCGTCTCTCGGTCCCGGCAGGGAGATGTGGCTGTGCCTGCATCCTTCCCGCCCGCACGTGCTGCAACATCCGCTTGCCCGCTGCGGCCCACGCGGGCGCCCTCCGCACGCTGGGATGGCCGCGGCCCTGACGCGCTCCCGGCCCTTGTCATAAGCCCCGCCACCGGCAGCCCCCTCTTGCCCCACTCTGGATTTCCTCAGTGACACATCCTTCCCCAGCGCACGTCCCCACATCCCCCTTCCCTGGAAGAGCTGCCACGGGGCCGTGCCACCCTTCCTGCCGTGGGCACAGGCACCGACGCTGCCACTGGCACCAACGCTGCCACCGGCTATCCGGGGTTGGCCTCGCCGTCCCCTCGCCAAAGCCTTGCAGGGTGTGGGAGGGCTCGAGGCCACGCTGCTCCCCCGAGAGCACCAGTGCAGCTGTGTCCCCAGGGGCCACTAGAAGGAGGCAGGGATGTCCCTGGTCTCTGGCCCAGGTGGGTGGCAGGAGCCGGCTGCTCTGGGACCCCCAGGGCTGGCCCCTGTGCTTTGAGATCATTGTTTTGGGCTCGGCTCTGTGCATTGGTTTGTGGCCAGTCTAAACTGGTTTGCAGCTTTTATAAGGTGTGGGATGAGTGGGATCCTGCGAGTGCCGGCAGCTCCAGAGGGGAGCCCATGCCTGTGGCTGCTGGTGGTGGTGGCCACATGAGCCCGCATGCCCAGGATGGCCGGTGCAGCTCTCCAGGTGGCAGGCGCTCACTCACAGCCCAGACCAGAGAGGAGCAGCCCCGAAGCTCCCTGCCAGGCTTCCAGCTTCACCATCTTCCCTCCAGCACGGCCCCAGCAGCCGAGCAAGCCGGTGCCGCCCTGCAGCCGGAGGAGTGGGGGGATGCCACCCACCCGCTGCTCTTCGTCCAGCTCAACCAGCTCCTCAGCACCCCGGCAGGGCTGGAGTGGAGAGAGGTGGCCAGGTAGGCTCATCTGCAATGGCCCAGCTGCCTGGCGACGCTTTGGGAAGCCCAGCCTTCGAGAGCCTGGCTCTGATGGAGCCCACGGCATCTCCCAAGGCTGGGGGTTCCTCAACCTCAGCCTGAAGCAGGGCTGCTCAGTGCCCTCTGCCCCTGCCGGCGCCCGCACTGCTTCTGCCCGGATTCGGGCGACACGGGAGAGGGCAAGGTGTCAGGCAGGGTGCAGGCAGTGGCCCTGCACGGGCACAGCGCCCTTGCTCTGCTCCTGCCTTTGCTGCCTCTCCAAGGCTCCGGTGGCTGTGCCAGGGCTGGGGTGGTGCTTTGACGCTCCCCAGATCCGGCTGCCCGGCATGTCTCAGGAGGTGACCAGAGGGGTAGGGCAGGCTTGACTGGGGACGATGGGGCCCAGCAGAGAGGGGCCGGGGCCAGCCGGGTGCTGGTGTGGGGCAGGAGTGTGGCTGGGACATCCCCAGAGCCCACCCTGCCCTCTGCAGCAGGGCCGGGGCACGAGGACGTGGGCTGTGGGGGTCTGGGGGCAGCAGTGGGTCTGCCCTGGGGGCAGGAGGGTCTAGCGGGGGGGCAAAGCCACCAAAGCGTGGCAGTGACGGCTCTGCCCAGCACCCAGCCCTCTGCCCCCTGGCGTGGCTGCCCGTCAGCAGGAGCCCACGCTGCCGGGGCACGCTCTCCCCGTGC